TCATTAATAATAATAATAATAATAATAATAATAATAACAATAGTAATATTAATAATTATAATAATATCAAAAATAACAATAATATCAATAACAATAACAATAATAATAATAATAATAATAATAATAATAATAATAATAATAATAATAATAATGATAATAATAGTAATAATAACAACAACAGCAACAATAATAATATTCCTCTCATCATTAGTTACACCAGCTATCATAATAATCATAAACATTAAAAAGCTAGTAACTATTATGACAACAGCAATTAAAAGACATAAACCTAATAAGAACTCACTTGCTGTATATAGGAGAGCTCGAACTGTGGCAGTGTATTTGAATAGGTGGTCATGGCTCCCTGGTCCCCCGAGCTCTGCATTGTCAGCTCGCCCATGCCGCCTCTGCCATCCACCTGCCGCAGAAATTATCAACAGAATGCTAAATATCTAAAAAGGCATGACGAGATTTAAGGAAGGTCTCAGCAAATATTTGTTTATAGACTTGTTGATTAATATATCAACATTCCAAATTATAAAATTAATTACAAATGAAAGATCCCTCTAAAAAAATAATAATAATAAGATAAAGCACAAAACACACTTAAAAGTTGAAAACAAACAATTCATACAGTCATAAACGAGAAACCAAAGTGGACTCTTTCTAAAATGAAATTGTGACCCCCCCCCAAAAAAAACAATTAAAAATGGAAAAGAAAAAACAACTGCTCTACCATTTCATGCGAGGCATTAAGGTGCTGTGAGTGGTGTAGTTGCGCTGTCATCACAGAGCTCTGCAGGTCAGGGATAGCTAGGCTGCGTGTTTCTGCGGCTGAGCTGCCTTCTAGCATCTCCTGCTTTCGCTTGTAAAATGTGTGCTGGATTGAAAATGAACAAATTAATTACTTAAAATAACAGTAATACAGAATACATAAATCAAGTAATCTCATTATAGTAAATAATAAAAATCTAAAACCTAAAATAAAAGTAAAAAAAAAGAAAAAACAATAAAAACTAAAATGAGTATAAATAAAAACTTGAATAATAATCATAATATCTACTATAAAACCTAAATCATCATCATCTTCCCAGAAACTTATGCAAGTTAATTTCGGTATTTCACATTAAGCCTACCAAAATATTTAGTTTAAGTAATAAGGCTAATCATACTTTTATAGAACTTGTAGACCCATAAAAAATTTAAATAAACATAATTAACAGTAGATTAAGTCAACTTCCAAAAACATTGCTCATTCATGTAGTGATTTCAGTTCTTTCAAAGGTAATTCACATGACTAGTACTTTTTACAATTACTCTTAATTTCATACCTGCTTGACACACATCTTCCACACATATTTGGCTGCGTCTGGCTCATCAAACGTGAAGTGAACCGTCTCATCTGTGCGCTGGCACTCAATGCCAAATGTTCGTTTGTTGTTCACCAAATTGGTAATGTCATTCCATCTGCAAAGAGCATTAAATAATTTTTTTTAAAAACATATACAGACATTGCAAACTAACAAACAACCAAACCAAACAAAAAAAACAAAGCAAAAAAACACTCTCACTCCCATTCCCACTCTCTCAAGAACATAGACACACACATAACAATACAAGACAGAACCATACAATATCATGCACTTTAATCAATCAACAGAATCAAGTATATGCACTACCCCTATAACATAGTGTTTGAAGAACTGCTGTGAGATAGCTTGAGTCTGCTTACAAATCACAACACTCTGGGAAAGAGATAAGGCTATTCAGCAAGAAGTAAAGAAGAAAAAAGAAGATAAGTAGAAGAAAAGACAAAGAGAATCAATGGAAAAGAAGAAAGAAGGATGAAAAAAAGAAAAGAAGAGAAAGAAAAGGAAAAAGAAGAAATGAGGAATAAAATGGAAGCAAAAAATAAAGAAAAAGAAGATAGCAGAAGAGAAGAGAAGAATAAAAATATAAGTAAAGAGGAAAAGAAAAAATATTAAGTAAAGAGTTAAAGGAGAAGAAAAAAAAGGGAAAAAGCAGGTAGTAGTAGAACATGAAAAGAAGAGAGAAGGAAGAAGAGCAAGAAGAAAAGAGGAGAGATGGAATAGAAGGACAAAAAAAAATGCAATAAGAATTTTTTTTAAATAAGAGAAGTAGAAAGAAGAAAAAAGAATAAGTAGAAAGAAGAAAAAAGAATAAGTAGAAAGAAGAAAAAAGAATAAGTAAAAAGAAGAAGAGGAAAAGGAAAAGGAAAAGGAAAAGTAAGAGGAAGAAGAACAAGAGAAGAAAGGAGAAGAAAAAGAAAGATGAGATACAGGAAAAGAAAAGAAAAGGGAAGAAAAGAAAAGAAAAGAAAAAATAAAATAAACAGAAGAAAAGAAGACAAACAAAAGAAAAGTAAAAAAGAAAACAAACACAATGAAGAAGAAAAAGAAGAAGATGACGACGATAACTCTTCACTTGCCTATAAAAGAACTGCGTGTGTCCGGAGGCTGGCCGTACCACAATGCCGATGAGAGAGGTCCCCAGGTACACCTCACTGCCGCGTTCATCCTGCACGAGAAGGCGTTCCAAGCATGAGTATTATATTGGTTTACGTCCAATATTGTTATATGTATATATATGTAAATCAAGGTCTGAATGATTGTAAATACTAAACAACATGAAACGCATTCACAATCACAATCAAAGTGTCCAAATGATGATGAAACAAAGACAAAGAAAATAGTGAGGGAAAAACAAAGAAGATGCAGAAGATAAGGAAAAACACAATGAAAATAAAAATCACACACCATAGAAAAGAAAAAAAATATAATAAAATAAAGCAAAATATACACAATACAAAACCAACAGAGCTCCAGTCCCTCTCACCCGCGCCATAAAGGTTTCCTGACCGTAGCCATCGAGCCTCTGAGCCTCTAGGATGTAGTACGTCTCAGCTAGGGCCTGCGCTAGGCTCTGGAGGGATGAATACTGCCACACAACGGCCTCCAGGAGTGCCGCCACTTCACCTTCGCTAACCACCTGCTGCTTGGAGGAAGGGATCGGTAGGTTTGTATCGTAACTTAGAAATGTCGAATAGATAAAGGGCATGAAAATAAAAATAAACATGAATAAACAATATCAGAAAAAAACTTGCAAATAAGTAATGAAAATAACCATTAAATAGAAAAATAACAAAAAACAGCAATCAACAGATAAAGAATATAGATACAACAATAAAAACCAATACTCATGTTTTATCATAGAAAAGGTACTGAAACTCAGAATCTTATTTTGAGTTCTGTCTTCCAATCATTTCCAACCACAAAAACAATGTTGCTCAAAATCTAAATCAAGAAGCAACATAACAGGATATATCCTATCTTTCAATAAGTAACAATGATGCTAAAGAGAATAACACGTAGAGGAAAACCTAAGACACCATAATATCCAATCAGATAAAATATCCCCCCCCCCCCAAAAAAAAAAAAAAAACATCAACAAAGATGATAAACAAAGAACGAAACAAAGGCAAAGTCAAAATATGATAACACAAACCTTGGGGAACAGCATGAAATCCTTGAGGTATTCAGCTGTATGCCGGTCTGGCTGGTGGTCTCCAAACTCAGCTGCCAAGGGGAGATAACTGGATTATTATCAATAGCAGCGAAAGAATTAGACAGAACACTGTGTGCGTGTATTTGTGGTTCCTACGTTAACTTGCAGTGAATGATATTACATGAAAAAACTAATAAAGAGAAATTATTTAATGGAAAAAAAAAAGTAAACTAGCTCAAAAAAACAAAAAGCAAGCACAAACTGCAGACAAACTGAAAAGCAACTCTATATTTCACCTTGCAGACTGTAGGACGCCAGGAGGACAGCCTGCTCATGGTTGCACCGCAGTTTGCCCTCCAGCACGTCCTGCTTGACTTGTAAGAAGTAATGGGATCTGTGGAGGAGAGAATAGCAGCTATTAGGGTCTTTCTGCTTTAAAACAAAAGGCAGATATAATCTATTTCTAATTTCTCTGTTCTTGGTAATATATTTCAATGCCGAGTTCAAAACACCATGATTAAATTTCATTTCTTATTGTGGCTGTTCATAAATACATATATACGCACACACACACACACACACACACACACACACACACACACACACATACACGTGTGTGAGAGAGAGAGAGAGAGAGACGAGAGAGAGAGAGAGAGAGAGAGAGAGAGAGAGAGAGAGAGAGAGAGAGAGAGAGAGAGAGAGAGAGAGAGAGAGAGAGAGAGAGAGAGAGAGAGAGAGAGAGAGAGAGAGAGAGAGAGAGAGAGAGAGTGTGAGTGTGAGTGTGAGTGTGAGTGTGAGTGTGAGTGTGAGTGAGTGTGAGTGTGTGTGAGTGTGTGTGTGTGTGTGTGTGTGTGTGTGTGTGTGTGTGTGTGTGTGTGTGTGTGTGTGTGTGTGTGTGTGTGTGTGTGGGCAAATATTCATATTCTAAGTACTACATATATAGTACTTTGACTTCTGATTAATTGTTTGCACTAGACTTTGCCACTGTTGCAACAGGTTCAGATGTCCTAATGTACTGATAGCTTGTGTTCCCAAAAGACTCTCTCACGCACAGCATTTGATAAATACCTTTAAAAATAGCAATGTAGCAATGATTTTTCTCTTTATGCACAAATATGGTAATCACTCTATGTAGTCACTATGGTTACTTTCTCTACAGCCACAATAATTATCTTTCTATTAAGGATAGCTGTTATAATATCCTTAAAACAGGTTCATTATCCTCTAACTACCCATATATACAGCTACATCAATTACTTCTACAAACATTAAATGAAAAACATTAAATTTGCAAAATCACAATAGTTACCCTGGCAAAGTCACATTACAGTAATCACTAATACCTAAAACCACAATAATTATAGTAACCAATGTCACCGAGAAAATGTTGTGTTCGCTGTTGTATTGTTTCATAAAATGTCTCTGCGCATATACTGCTCCTTAAGTGCTTGGCTATAAAGGATTTAATCAGTAAA